TAAATAACAAATGTTTTGGATCTAGAAAAAAGTAGATGAAACCTGAAAAAAATAGATTCTCCTCAAGAAAAATAGTTATTTATTTTTTGGGAAGGTGAAGACGGAGAATTAGAACTCGTAAACAATTTTTTCAACGCTCGTCAAAATTAATTTTCAATGATAACATTGATGACCAAACGTGTAGAAACACAAGCAAGGTCATTTTCAAACATATGGTAAAATGGTAAAAAAAACTCGTCATTTGAATCCGGATTTTCCCACTCATTTCTTGGAAAAAATGGTAATTTTAATGCAAGGTGGAAAAGTGGTGCGATGGACTGGAGCGCTGCTGATTGATTGAGCAGCGAGCGTGAGTGTTTTTTGCGCGATAACTGCTGTTCTTGGGCCCCGGGTGATTGATGAGCTGTAAGGGTAGGCCTTGGAGAAGAGGGCCCTCGGAGCCATAAATAATTTTTACTGCGCGCTCGCCAGCAGTAGTAGTTTTGCAATCCTGCACAGGAAAAGTACTTCATTTCCCGGCCGACGCTGCTCTCGGAGCATAAAAATGCAATTACATAAGAGCCCACGTTGCGCCTTGATTGATGAGGCCTCGGGGGCCGCGGGCGGGGCGTGGCGCTCGCCCCCGCAGCATCCTCCATTTCACTCGCGGCCCATTGTTATTCCGAGCAGCGCACCCCAGAAAATTACTTTTTTGTTTTCTTTCCTACTAATGGACGCACTCGCTAATCAAGGAGTGCATATATAAAGGGGTAGCTTCGTTTTTTTTTTTTAGTAATTTTTTAATCAGATTCCAAAGGACACCAGGCTGCTTTTTTAGTGAATGTTCTTTTTTCTTGGCTTCAATTTTTGAAAAAAAAAAAAAATTACAATTAAAATTTTTTCTCTTCAACAATTAAAAAAAAAAAATTACTTCAATTATTAATGAAAATATCTTTGACTTTTGACATAATTTAATTTATCTTTTGGCGTCCCTTCCATTTTTCGCTACCAAGAGATTTAGACGATTTATTTTGTGCACAGTATATCTTTCTACTGGTTAAAAACAACAAATCTAGGTGAATTAGATATTTATCAGGACACTCAAACCAGTCTCGAAGGATCCCTTTAGTTAGTCAAAATAATTAAAACAGCTGCCTGAATCACTACAATTTTATATTCAACGAAACTGAATTCAGGTCATAAATATTGTATAAAAGATTGAATATAACTAAACTTTTCAATAAATCTGCTTAGATTCATTTCCCTTTGTAATAATTATGTCGAAAATAAAATTTAAAATAATCTAATTTGGAAAAAAAAACACTTATCGTATTTAATTTCCTCAAATTCTTTTGACTATGTCTATTTGGGAAAACAACTTTCTTTTTTTAGTAATTTTTTAATCAGATTCGAGGAGCAGCCAGTATTTTTTTTTCATCTGTCCGACCTTTGGTGCGTTCCTTTGGCGCTGCCAAGATAACCCTTCCGCTCGGCTGCAAAGCTGTTTGCATTCGTCGTCGGTGTTTTTTTTCCATTCCTCTGCCGCTCGTGCAAAATTAATGAAGGCCGGCCGGCTGCTGGAATGTAATCTCTCAGATTTCGCACACGCCCGGATGAAAGTTTGATGCTTGCTTGAAATATTTACCGCTTACGTGCAGCAGCGCGGCCAGCCATACTACTTTGCTCTGTAAATTATTGAAGCAGATTTTAAACGTTGCGTCCACCGCAGCAGCTGCTTTTTCCGAGGCCCTCTTATGTGGTGCCGGCGGATTAGAGCGACCGGCCATTTTGGAGCCGCGCCAAAGGGCACCTGCTCAGGACACGTGCGAGGCGCCCATCAATCAGCGCCACCTGCAGCCTACTTTGTTGCATTTTCGAGAGTGCATCTGCTTTTCAAGTGGCGCCGTGTGTAAAAAAAAGAGTGGTGCTCGTAAATTTCGGGGGGTCCTGCCGGAAGGGCGAGGAAATGCAGGCCGGGCTAATGTTGCAGAAGGAGAAGCAGCGCCATATTTCACAAAGTCAAACTCAAAAAGTCGTAAATCTCGGAGTGGGGTTGTTCAAAATAAATAAAGGACTCTTGGATTCTGGGAAAGGGGCTACAGATGAATGTCATTATAGCAGATGCATGCATACTTTGCACTTAATTGTGCACTTAAGTAATTGAAGAGGTTTTGTAAAACCTTTTAGTACGTATTTTTTAATTACATTAACTGCATAGAATTATCAAATTGATTTAAAAGCAGAATGCAATGGATCCCATGGATTATTTATCTGGTTCTTTCCAGATGTTTTTTGGGTTGGCACTACTGCATATGCAGGTTGGTTGCTACCGGTTTTTTCCGGTTTATGTAGGCGGTTTTTTCTTATCACTATGGCTGTGGGCGTTTTTCCTACAGCTGATTGTCTACTTCCTTACATTCTTATTGTCGAGTTGCAGTGTTTTTGTGTTTTGTGCTCCTTCAAGATGTGTTTCAATTGTATATTGGTAAGTTTTTTGTGTTTTTCTCGTGTTGAATAGTAAATTATTCGCAATTTTTTCCGTCCGCTTAATCTTTTCACGTTAGCATAATTTATTTATTAATTATTATTATTATTTATTCTACTCTAGTCATGAAAAAATCATTAAAAAAATATAGACGATCGCTTATCTTTAAAATTGTATATTTTATGAAATCTTATTGCAAAAGATGAAATGTTTTGAAATTTATGCAACCATAAAAATAATCCTAAATAAACCTGTAGTGTAGCAACAAGCGCAGCCTTTATGCCGTTGCAGAATAAACCTGGTTGGAACGTCCCTGGCTTAGAGAGTTGTCGCTTTTTTTGTATAAAATTGTGCATTTTACGTTATTCTGTCGCAGCGGCAAGAGTTTTTCCGAGATACACGTCAAAGGATTGCGGTGCAGCCACCCAAACCGCACACGCCATGCAGGCATCAGTCGTGTGCGGTTGTACATACGTGTGTCCGTCCGGGGCAAATCCCCAGCTCGCGCGTTGGGCTCCTCTCCCTTCCACCTTGCGACTCAAGAGAGCCATGAATTTAAATAATTGGACTAATTTGGAGCCGGCGGGAGAGATAGAGACTCGAGGGGCGCAGGTACGAAACAAATGCATGCAAACGAACCGACACTGACCGCCGACCACCCCAGATTGATGGCCAATTAGTGCGGATTTATTTCTTCCCGGAAATTCGAATTAATGCCAAACTATACATACACAAAACGTTCGTTACTAGACGAAAATTTGAAATTAAATTGAGTAAAACCTTCATTAGCCGATTTTAAAAAAACAATTCATAAATAGGAAGGGACAAAAACCTATCATGATGGGACGCAGGTCAAATTTTTCTAAAATTCACAGGATGATTGAGAAAAAAAAATTAAAATAAGTAGGATAATCTGAAAATAAAATTTTCTTGGTAATTTGCATAATTATGTTATGAATTTTGAATGATTTTTTTTTTACTTTTTAATTGTTTTTATTAATTCCTGTAAGATTAAGTATGGCAAAAGTTTTTTTCAATGACCAATTAAAAATCGGTGTTGTTGGAGACTAGATTAATTTAATTTAAAGTTTCAATATTACCAAAGTAATTGAAGTTATAATATGTTAAAATTGAAAAGACATGAAATACGGGAAACTTTATATGAAAATAGCGATAGTGGATTTGATTTTGATTTGTTTTTTACGGAATTCTTCTCTGTGTTCATAGAATTTTCAACCATTTCATATTAAAGTGATGAGGGAATTTTCTAATTTTGCTCTCTGGTTGGTGCGAGAGTTTGCAAGGCGAGAAAAGCAGCTATAGCTGCGGCGCAGGGAGAACATTGATTACCACCGCGCCCGTTCTTTTATCCCGGCGGCCGCGCTCTCTGTGCAAGTATGTACGTACGGATAGGTAATGTATTTTATATGTAGCCGAGCATCCAAGCCAACATACATACACATGGCCGGCAAAATGTAATTCCTTCCTCTGTTGCTACAGAGATAAAACCGACCGAGCGAGCGAGCGACCAACCAAAAGCGTCACATCTTTGTTTCAAACAAAAAGGAGAATTTATTATTGCGCTCGTACGTGTTAATGCCGCCCGCCGAGGAACAAAAAGTTTCCCCCAAAAGCTCTCTCTCTCTCTGCAGCTTTTTCGCCGCTTTTCTCATTACGCACACGTCACGGCGCCCAAACGAAACGCTGGCCGTCCACCCACCCACCCACCCACCGCGTGCGGAACAAAAATTGTTTTTGCGCGCCTTTTTTGCGCTCTTGACTCTCGAGCAGCACGATAAACACTGGGAAAATTTAATTTGGCCCCGGCGAGAGTGATTACGCGCCGAAGAGACACGCCGCAGCTTTTTCCGTCGCTCCGTCCGCTGCTTTCTCTCAAAACAAAAATGATCATCCCCGGCTGCACTTTAGCTTGGTCCGGCCGACGCACAATGGCCGCGCTTGTTTTTTTGCTGCCGGGGAGGAAAAGCTATGCTATTAATTAGGAGAGCGGCCGAAAGTGCACTTGCACCGACCCCCCTTCCCTGATATGTATGCTAATGCGGGGACGAGCAGTAAAAAAATAAAATAAAATGGAAGCTTGACAATTACGCTAGCAGAAAAAACAGAACATTTTGGAAAATTAAGGTAACTTTCATTTGTAAGAAAAATAATTTTTTTTTAGAGCAAATCGAAAATATATGGTTGCAATGCAATCGGAAAAAAAATGATTTAAATTTTATTTGATGTTAATTTGTTGAACCGTTTGATAGGGATGATAAAAATTAATGCAATTTTAGTAAAAATGTTCCGATTTTGCCGTCAAATCATTCTTCAAGTCAAAACTTACTTAATCACTTTTTTTCATTTTTAATCTTTTACCTTTTTTGGTAAAAAGTTACATTTTCAGATCCCAAGAAAATATATACATAGGCTATGAATTAAAATAAATGTCACAAGAATTTAAAATTTCTATAAAATAGATCCATTTTGCTAATCAATCTTTATTAATTTTTATAATTGTATAATAATTTTTCAGGTTCTCTTCAACGCGCAGTTTCAAGGTAAGCCAATTTCAGTTGGATCAATTTTTTTTCGTATTATTAGGAATTCCACGATCCAGGGAATTTCAACGCCCTGTGCCGGTGTATATACTTTTGTATCAAATGCGAAATCATTGTCCATTGTTTCGATGAAAACGGCGAGAGCGCGGCGGCTTAAAGAGCACAAAGCGCAGAGTGTGCGCGCGAGCGAATTACAAACGGTTTATTTTATCAGCGGCGCAAGGAAACCCTGGCGTATTCGTAAATTACAATTTCGTATTTAAAAAGCTTTTGCCGGTGGAGAGGCGAAATTCGCAGCGAAACCCACGATTCTTTTGAAACGACGCGCTCGTTCTGAGCGGTCCTTCAGCAAGCAGCTCTCGCAGTTTGATCCTCGCTCGGCTATTATCCAGCACGCGTACCGAAAATGAATGGGGGAAAAAAAAAGAGAGAAAGCGGCACCAAGAGGGAAAATTTTGCTCCCGCCGGCCTTTGCTCTTTTGATGAAATTAAAATATGCCCAATTTTTGCGTCTATATCTTCATTCTGGGAACGAATTTTTTTATATCATAAAATATTTCACAAATTTCAAAGGAAAATCTTTGGCGTTTGATTGGCGTTCAGGGGGTGCTTTTCACGCGCAACCGATCCTTCGAAATCAATCACTCCGAACGCGACGTATGGAAAAGAGCGTGAGAAAGATGGGCAGATGATGCGCGCCGACCTGTTTGCGGCAATAAGAACAAAAATCGGACGCCATCTCCAGCGTTTGGAATCAAAAGGCCTTTTCACTCGCTCCAGCTGAATTTCACGTGCAAGAGAATCGGAATCACCTCTCCCCGTTTTGCTCCAGCGGAGGCAATTTATACCGTCTTTTGTATGCAAGCGCTCTTTTTTTTTAGTTTTTTTTTATTTCCCAACCAGCTCAAAGCCTCCGACCATGCTGAATTTGAATTTTTGATGCGTAATTGGAAAAAAGCTGGAGGGACGCCGGCCGCTCTTCCCTTGCCTGATCATCGTTCTCCGAGAGCGCATCTCTCGCCAATTCGCAGCTTCAAAGATATATTTACGAACAGACGGGCGATTCAATTCCCGCAGCCTGGAAAAGGTCCGGTTTCAATTTGAGGGAGAAAAGCTCATCTCATCGTACAAGAAAATTTAATTATGGTCCGTATTCAAAATGAATCAGATCAGGAATTTGAAAATAAGGGATTTTCCATAAAATGCACAAAGTTTTGAACTAGTTTTTTTATGATACGGAAAAATTTAAATTTGCTAATTTACATCTATTTTAAAAAATGTACAAACTCTTGTACTTTTTACCTCAAAATTACAATTTTGAAGAAAAAAGTTGCTTTATACTTTAGGCTTGATTGATAAAAAAAAAAATCCTTTTATGTTACAGACATTGCCAATTTTTATTGGAATAGAAAATTTTGAATTATTATTTTTTCTGCTTTGACAAAAAAATCAAGGGATATTAAATGGCAAACAGAATGATTGTAATGAAGACAAAATATTATTAGAAGAGATCGTTATTTTGCTTTCTGTTTGGAAATTCAAAAAGAGCAAAGAATTATGTTTTGATATTCGGAATCCGAAGCTGCGGAATCATTGAATCGCGCTTTTCCATTTCCGACTTTCCCCCGAGCTTTTTCCAGCAGCTTCATCATTTTCAGTCCACGTTGGCTCCTCGTGACGGTGAAAAATCAGCGTGCAGGGGCGTAAGAGGAAAATTAATCAGCGTGCCGGATAGACGTGATGATGAATTACCCTTAAATATTTACCCGCCCCTTTTTCTCATCTCTCTGCGGAGCGAACCTGTTCCAGCGGCAAACGTGTTTGGTTTGTTTGTACCTGCCGCGACTCCCGATTTGTTTTTGCTCCTTTTTCACTTTTGATTTTCCGAGAGCCCCACTTGCGTGTGATTTCCCCCCAGAATCGCCTTTTGCTTTTATTGCCCCGGACAAACGTTTGCTTGCGGCTCTGGAAACATTCGGCCGACCAGTCAGCTGCTGAAACTGGAAGAGCGAACAGTAAAGAGGCGAACGCGCGCTTGCGAATAAACTGGAGAACATACTCATTTTTCGTTTCAATTTGATTTTGTGAATTATTGTTCAAAGGAAAATTTTCCAGGTATTATTTTACATTATTTTATTTATTATGTTCCAAATCTTTATTATTATTAATTCCCTGTTTACAGTTTTACAATTTATTTATTAGCGCTAATTTAAATAATTTAATCTAGGTTAAGATTTTGGGTCTTCCAATTTCAATTCAAATAATTCAATAAAACTTTCATTTTATCATTTGTTTTCTTTGCTACGTCTTCAAGTATTTTATCATTCTTGTTTGATTATTTTCTTTTTCTTTTTCACCGGGACATGAATTAAAACTTTTAATTTACTAAGCATAATAGAAATTCATAAAATGTAAAGAAGACATTGGATTTAATAATAATTTATTTATTAAAACAAGTTAAACTTAATTATGTACGTGACATAACCAATCCTAAATTATTTACTTAAGAATTTTAAATCAACAAAAAAATTTCTTTCTCAAATTTAATTGGAGATTTGAACGCCCGAAGGCGATTTTCTGTGTACCAAAATTACTCTCCCTTTACTTTTGTCACGCTCAATGATTTCCTTTTTTTGCAATATTTTGGCCGCAGCCACAGGGAACTGTGTGCGGTGCAAATGGAAAAAAACAGATTGTCAAAGTAGCGGGCCTTTGAACCGAAACTGGTGCGCGCGGCTCGGGGGCATCGCGCCGCGCGCGTGTAACTCTAGCTTAGCTGTTAATGAGGCGCACGGACACAGGGCGCCGCCATTTATTCGCAAAGTACGCGTTGTGTGCCTGCCTGGCCTACCTACACAGCACTTTCATTATTACTTTAATTGAAACTGCGCTCTCTGGGAGAACGCAGCGGTGCGCCTCGTACATTATTGCCAAATTAATTTCATTACGCAAATGGAGTTCCGGCTGACAATCGTGCCCTGCGAGACGGAGCCCTTTTGTTTTGATTCCCATTCAATTATTTCCCGTTAACTCGTCCCGTGACGGAATAATTGTGAATTGGTTTTTCTCCGGGTTCAATTACCCCTCACATCAGTTTCAAGCGCTTTTGATTTTTTTGTCTTTTGCGATAGAATTTATTCTCTTGTAATTTGACAAATGGCAAGTTGAATTCAAAATTTTAAATGTATTTTATTAAAGAAATCTGAAAGTTCATTTCTATGGGTCTCTTTGTACTATTGGAATTTCTTTAAATTAATGCACATTAAAAGATATTATGCAAATATGCTTCTGATACTATCAATATTTATAGCAAGAAAGACAAAGAACAGCTTTTAAATGATAATTTCATAAGGCGATGAAATGTAACACTGGAAACAATGGTTGCTCTCAAATTATTTTAAATATATTTTATATACAACAGTAGTAAATTGATTCTAGTATATTAAATAATTAAATTAAAATTATGTTAAATATTGTGTTTATTATTTGTATTTTACATTCTATAATATGTGTTTAAATTTATTTATTTATTTATTCTCCATTAAGATACAATGAAATACACAATACACAACATCTTACATCAAGTCAATACAAAAATTAAATTAAAACACTGAAATTTTTTGATTATTTTCAAAGTATTGATCATTACTTAATACTTATTAATTTCGCAATGAATTAAATTCCCTTTATTTGCTATAATGAGTACAGTCATGCCGTTTGCCTCACATGATTATCGAATTAATATTGATATATTTTTATTGACATAATTATATTATTGACATTTTCTCTATGCATGCGTTTGATCTATCGTAAATTATTAATTTCTTGTATTTAATATATATATTTTTTTTAAATTATAATTTCATACATTTTTACTCTTGTCTAGTTGTTGGAAAAACATATTGGAAGAGCATTCAGTATACCTAAAATGATTGAATCCATTAAATTTTTTCGCTTAATAACAGCACATACTTTTACACTTAAATTGAAATAATTAAATGCAAAATCTATTTAATGGGAAATAATTATTTTTAATGTGTAAATAAATTTTCAGGCCAGGTTCTATGATATTAATATTTTCTTGCACAAACTAATTTTTTATGCAGAACATTATCCAGAAACGACAATATATATTAATTGGTCTTTTAAGCAAGGCTAAATCATTATTTCCTTCTATGGTATATTAATTTATGAGTGCCCCTAGCATTAAAAAAAAATAAACAAAAGACTATTACAAATATTGTCCCATTTCTGGAAACTGGCGATAACAATTTGTCCCTCTTTGCGAATAACAAAAAAATTAAACACACGCTTGAATGATTTACTGCGGCAGGTGAGAAACGGTGAGAAAAATAATTTTTATCAGCTGGAGCGCAGCCTTACAGCAAGGGCAGTTTGTTTTCGTTTTGTTTTCTCTGGCGGGGCGTGCAGCGTCATTTTCGCGATTTGTTTGTTTGCTCGACGAGACGCGCAGAGACTAATTTTGTTTTTCGCAAACATTCTCATCAGCTCTGGGAAAACAAATTTCGAAGTCGTCTGACGAGAGCAGACGAGATTAGGGCCCTTTTCCTCTCTCTTTCTGGCAAATAAAATAAAGGCGTGGCCTGGCTGGCATCTCGGCGCATGCAGCAGCAGCAGCTCATCACATTTTCGATTTCTCTGCAGCGCACGTATGTGCGGAGAAATAAGGGCGCGCAGGACTTTAATGGCGTCCCCCGCATTTTCCAATGGCCAGCGCACCGAAGACACGAGTAATATTTTCCCCGGATTTGTCCTCCGTATAAATCTAACTTAAAATGGGATCATATTGTTCCGACGAAAAATGACCAGATGGGAATAAAGTCGCTCGTGTTTATGAGAGAGAGATTCGCCTTTGTGCCGAGAGCGGGATCGCCAGGGAAATGCAATTTATATTCATAGAAACGGATTAAGGGGCTTTTGCCTGGAATTCAAAAAAGCTTCGGTGGAACTTCAGCACCCCTCTTTGTCTGATTGCAGAC